AAAAAAAAGTATAACATCAAGGATTGACAATGGAATATTGTATAGGAGTTCAAAGAAAGCAATGATAGTTCCATAGAAGACAAGGTGTTTTAGGGGGGGGAGATGGTCTGGAGGGGGAACTGACGGTACGTTATTACATTAAGTTATTTGATGAGGAAAGAGTGGGCAGGTGTGAAGAATATGTGGAACACCAAAACATTGAATTATTTCCTCGCTGGATGTGTAGTCTGGTGCAACTTTTATGACATTGAGTCCAATGAAGGTGTGGATGATGGTACTTGAATGTTGCAATTTTTGGGGGTAACTTGGGTACCTAGATTTTCTTTGTGGCAATGTTGCACATTTATTTATTTATTCTCTTCAGCTAGCTGCATATCTATTATTCTCATCCTTTCTTGGTGATTGACTTCTTGAATTCCAGCCAAGGGTGGAAGCTGCTATGGTGAATGCCAGAATACGCAAAACAGTTAGAGCAAATAATGCTAAGGTGGGTTATATTGGGGCTGCTGCTGATTTCAACTACGATCATCAACATCTTGGAACAGACCCTCAAACACTAGTTGAAATTGCTGAGGGCCGCCATCCCTTTTCCTCGTCTCTTAAAAATGCCAAGAACCCAGTCATCATTGTCGGGGCTGGTGTGTTTGACCGAGAGGATAAGGATGCTGTCTTTGCTGCTGTTGACACGATTGCAAAGAACAATAATGTTGTGAGATCTGACTGGAACGGACTAAACGTGTTGCTGCTGAATGCTGCCCAAGCTGCCGCACTTGATCTTGGACTTGTACCTGAATCTGATAAATGCATTGATTCTGCAAAGTTTGTATATTTGATGGGTGCTGATGATGTAAACTTGGACAAACTTCCAGATGATGCCTTTGTGGTTTACCAAGGTCATCATGGTGATCGTGGTGTATATCGTGCCAATGTGATTTTGCCGGCATCTGCTTTCACAGAGAAAGAAGGAATATATGAAAACACAGAAGGATGTGCTCAGATCACACTGCCAGCCGTTCCTACTGTTGGTGATTCCAGGGATGATTGGAAGATAATCAGAGCATTGTCTGAGGTGGCAGGTATTGGATTACCCTATGATAGTCTAGGGGCAATCCGATCTCGAATTAGGACAGTGGCACCAAATCTCCTAGAATTGGATGAGAGGCAACCAGCCACATTCTCAACTTCTTTGAGACCTGAGGTCAGCCAAAAAGTAAGTTCAACTCCATTCAATCCTGCTGTGGAAAACTTCTACATGACCGATGCAATTACTAGGGCCTCAAAGATTATGGCTCAGTGTAGTGCCTTGCTAAGGAAATGAGCATCGGGTTTTGATACCTGTAATAAGATTTTCCATTCACTTTTTCCTGCCAGTGTTATCAGTTTGAAAAATGATGGATTTTTTGTATTGGGATCAAAAGAAGAGAGCAGAGAAGACTGTAAATTGATGTGCCACAATGAATGCCCTCATAAATGGCACCACAACTTAGGTCTCTGGTTTGTACCTTTTTCTGTAATTTAATCAGCAAGTTTGCTGTGATTGTTGAGTTTTCCACACCAAAGTAGGAGAATCTGAAGTTCCCAGCACAAAATGTGAAATTGGAGAAACTCTTTACAGACACAATAAGGCATATAGTAAATCAGTAAGACTGGTAAACTATATTATCCAGTTATTTTTCTTTCATAATTGGGGTTATTAGGCTCAATTTAAAACTTATCTAGGTATACTTTGGAAGAGGTGAATTATGAAATGATTATACGTTCTTGTTTTTACCCAAGCTAAATGTCTCTTGTGGAATTATTTCAAACCGACATTTTTGCTTGTACAAGAACCAAGAAGTGCCTTCTAATAAGGAAAATATATAAATATTAGTCTTTCAAATACTTTTATTTGACAAGAGGGAGTCGCTCACATAGTTGAGTTACTAAAGGAGCATAGCTCCATCAAAGGGGAGGGGAATTAAAAAAAATTTATCTTTCTTACCTTCAAGATCTACAACAAAAAAGAGAAATGTGGCTCGGGTTAAGAAATTGGTTAGGTGAGGGAATGAGGTGATTTAGGACTCGCTTAACTAAATGTATAAAGATTAATATGATAGAGTTAAACTGGTTTGAGATTGAGACGTAGTTGTTATTGTGTGGCAACATGACGCACTTCTGCTTCAAAATAATCCAATGCTCATACCAAACTAATAGATATTTAACATGTGTTAACAAATGAACTTTTATCACTTTTGCGTTGCGATGCTCATAACAAACTAATAGATATATAACGTGTTAACACTTGAACTTGTATAACTTTTGCTTCAAAATAATCTCCTACCCTATAAAAATTTACCTGCACCAGATATTTACACCAACTCAATAGGTGCATAACATGTTTTAACACATGAACTTCTACCACTTTACCATGGTTTATTGAAAAATATTGTCACCTCATTAAATCATTTAACCATGGTAAATTGATACGTTTTTGGTGTAACCTTCCTAGCCACATCAACTACGTATAAGCGTTTGCAATGTTACATTGCCTGAAAACCTCCCGATTCACACACATCAAATTCCAAAATAGGTAAAAGCAAAGACAATACCACACAGGAAAAACTAAGCTTGTCGTCATTACTCTTTATCACAGAGCCAGAAATTTATTAGTTCAGAGAATTCCCTCAGAACTCAGAACAATAAACATGCATGTTATACACAGTACAACAACATATGAGACGTTCATCCAATGATCATCATAAGTATAGCTCACCTAACAAATAAACACACTAAGCATCAGAATCCTCCACCTTCCCTCGATTCTGATGTTGCTAGATTTTGACACAGCTTCTATGTATTCGGATCACAAACTCTTTAAGTCATTAAATCTCCATTAGCTTCACTCCAGTAGTCAATGATTGAACAAGTCAGTTTAGTACAATTGTAGCCAACAAACGGGGCAGAGGCCCTCTGTTCCGAATCTTTCATTCCTTTAATGAACACGATGCATCATGACTTAACATGTGAATTTACGAAAAAAATAACAATGCATCCTTGCAAGGACCTAAACGCGATAACATCTGGACGAAGCTTGCCTCTTCTTGCTTGTCATATTCTACGTCTAGTCTACTATAACTGGGCGCTGTACAAGACTATCTGCTTTGCCGAATGCCCCTACAAGTCTATGGTACAAGAACCACCAAACTAGCAGTATTATGCAGCAACCTTCTCCAGCTTCTGCTGTTGAGACAAAGGTGTTTCCTGACTTCTCCTGAAAATGGAATCAAATAAATAAGCAAATTCCTGACATCTTAGGATTGGCTCTCGCAGGTAAAATGTGTATAATGCTGACATAGTGGCATAAGGTAATAAGATAAACAAAGGATGCAACAAACATAACTTTACCTGTAAATTGTTTGAGTAGCAAAAGATTGGCATAAACCTCGAGAGGCCTTTCAGTGAATGACTTGTATATGAGGAGTATATTTTGGAAATGATCTAAGATTAAGCAAAGACATTAATGCACCTCCTCAACCTATTATCTCTTCATGCAATATACTTCCAATGCAAATAAGATTCTGTTAGTGTCAAGTAAGATCCCGATTTCTGTGGTCCCCCAGCCATCTTCCCCCTCATGCTAGTTAGAAGAAGGTGGTCCTAACAGCAACAAATTGTGTTGGTCCTTGCAAGCATGGTATCGAGTACAAGGAATAAGAAACCCAGTACTAACGTTCTTCTCCGATACCAGTGCTAGAATGACTATTGTGCTATCCGTTTTAACAGGACACTGCTGTCAGCATCCTGTAGTAAAATGTACTACACCATTTTACCTCTAGAATCAGTCGTATTAACCATTAGTAAACAGATTAAAATGACCAAGTCACTTCTACGCCCAGGTTACAGAATCAGATATTAAAGCTACAAATTTTAATACTTCAGTGGAGAATGAAAAGTAAAATGAAAAAGTTTGAATGGCCAATCACATCACCTACCTAATTGCATGATTTTGGAAGTATCTCCTGATAATGAGGTGATTATAATAAACCAGGAAAAAAAAGAGAGAAGGTAATAATTGCCTTTAACAATTCATAAGAGGGGTATGAGTTGACTCGTCCAGAATAATTTAGATATCATTTTGCGTATATTATTTAAATTGCTCAAATAAAGTCGAGAAAGAAATAACCAATTACGGACAAAAAAGAATTCAGTGGAACTTAACAACTGACCTTGGCCTTTCATTACCACCATCCTTTTCCTGGCCTTTCTGTTTCCCGGAATTCCTTGACTCGGGTTTCCAACGAGCATTTGCTAGTGATTCACCTAGTAACTCAGCAATCTCTGTTGCCATTGCCTCAGCCTTTTTGAAATATGGAAATTTGTCGTTCTCAAAGTGATTAGATAACCACATATACATGGACAACACTTGGTGCCTAGTCTCAAGATCCAAGAGCTCCGAATCATTACGAGCAGAACATTTTGGCATGCCCATTGCTATATTAACAGGCAGCTCTTGTGCATATGATGACGCAAACTTCAGAAGATGGTACATTGCTTTTGGGTCTCTAATGTTAACAGGAGCAAAGCAAAAATTGAAACGATCTTCAAGAGATAATCCTTGAACTTTCTCCAGCATATTAGCTATCTTTTTTATGTGGTTATACTGGCACAAGAAATAAGAACCATCCAAACGGCAATTTTCACCAAACCTATCAAGCAGCTCGGAGAATGTAGAGTTTGGAATTTGCCCCGCAAATAACTCAACCTGCTCATAGAAAGGAAAGAGCCCAACTTTGTGAACTTCGTCAAATGGCTTCTTCAGACACTCGATTAAATAGTCTAAATCCTCCAGCTGTAAAGTGGTGGTTAGTCCTTCAGGATAGCGACTTCCCCTCCGACCAGCTCTTCCGGCAATCTGCTTCACCTGTGACGAGGGAACAGGAACAATCTTGTCACCATTGTACTTTGACAGGGTGTTGAAGATGATTCTTCGAATGTTCAGGTTTAAACCCATTCCGACTGCATCGCTGGCAACCAAGACATCAAACTCATTGTTCGGATCGTTAAACAAGGTAGCTTGCTGTCTTCGAGTTTCTGGTGGTAAGGCACCATATATTACACAACAACGGTGATTAGTATGCTTCTCAATCGCCAATTTTACCTCAAATATTTCTCTCCTTGAAAAAGCAACAACACAATCCCCTGACCTCACATTTTTCAGATCACCTAAAAGAGTCTTGGCTTCAACAACCAACGGCTTAAACCTCTCATAATGTTGTTCCACCAACTCATCCCCGGTTTCAGAACAGATTTTGCGAACGATATCCAGTACACTTGGATCTCCACAAACATGTATCTCGTCAGCCTTTAACCCTAGTAGAGCCCTTGTCCATGCATAACCTCTATGCGAGTCCGCCATCATTTGGATTTCATCAATAACTGCTACATCATACATCTCATCAGTTGAAACCATCTCAACCGTGCAAGCAACATGATTAGAAAATGGGACATGCTTCTTCTCCTGCCCTGTAAGAAGACTACAATATACTCCTAATCCATTCACCTTATCGAAAACCTCCATAGCCAACAATCTTAGAGGACTACAATAAATTCCCTTCTTCGCTTCCATGAACCTTTGCAATGCATTATATGTTTTACCACTATTTGTGGGACCACAATGATATATAATCTTGCGCTTCATCGCCCTGGCAAATGGAAACCAAGTATGAGGTTTTGTCAAATCCGCTGACTCAACCATTTTCCTGAAGTTTTTTATCTCATCAGGAAACTCCTCTAAGCAAAACTCCACAAAGATCGGAAACAGAAACTTCTCAGCTTCAATACACGGACCAAGCGACACTAAGTACTTCGCGATATCAACCTTACACTTCTTAAAGAAAAAGTTACGAAACTTATGTGCTGCTGTAGGAAAGAATGCAGCCCCAATATACACAGCTAGAGCCTGATTTGAAGCCCATCCGGACTTAGCAAAACATCTAAAAATCTCAATCAAAGTATCCCAATCGCCTCGCGTTTGCTTTTCCCCCTTGGAAGCATCCCTAAGCTCCCTATATATTTCCACCGGATCACGACTAGCTATTTGAACAAAATTCAATCTTTTCTCAGACCCTAATGTTCCAATTTCACACTCATTCTCTTCCACATCCAAATTACAAAGTTCTGATTCATTATCTTCATTTTCCACCACTGTGGAAAAAGGGTGTCTATAAAAATTAAAAAGATCAAACCTTTTCCATTGATTAAACCATAAAGGTGAAAATTGAGGTGGGATTGGTAAAGGGTGTCCACAAATGTGAAAATCTTGGATTTTTTTCGGTTCTGTGAAATGGGCATGTAGGAATCTACTGGAAACTGAGAAAAATCTAAACTTTGAACTGTTATTCTTGGATAAATATAGATAAAGGAGATTTCTTGCTGGTCCTCTTGCCATTAGGAGATAAAAGATTATTGTTTTAAGAATGTAATATGCATAGAGCAAATAGTTAAATTTATAGAGAAGCTAAAAATTACAAGGTAGGAAAATAAGAGTTGAATTAGCAATAGAAGTATACCTCA